ATGGAGCATCGTGAGGAGATGCAGTCCCATGGAAGCCGGTGACCAAAAGCTGGTTCATACGCCATTTGTTCTTTCGGGATACTGGAGCCCATGTGCACCATAAAATTGGGATCCGGTTATAGCGCCGGAAGTTCTCTTTTCGTCCTCTCATTTTCGTAAACAACACCCCCGCCACGAGAAGGCAGTGAGTAGGACTTCCCTGGCAGAGGCTGTATACGCGTGGCCGTGTGAGAGTATTTCGAGAAGGAGGGCGAACCCTCCCCGCTCCCGGCCATACCAGGGCATTTGGGGGTCATTGCCGGTATTATTAGTGTAACTATCCTATAGAAAATACTTGAAGCTTTCGTTAATTTAGTGTTATATTAAGATTTTTAAGTATGTATTTAACACTAATCGCGAAACCGTGATGTCTCATTTGGCTCTTTCACTTGAGATATAGAACCCCTGTAGGACCTGTTGTTTGAAGGCAAGTTAGGTAGAACTTTTTCAATTCCAAAACGATTCAGCACAGTATGTATTCCCTGTCAAGATTTTCAACTAGTATAACTACCAATTAATTTTTTTAGTCTATTTATTTAGTTAAGAAGTTCACTACTTGTTAATTCTAAGCAGGTGTCATTTTACTGCACAGGTTATATGGACGGGTGTAAAGTAGTATACTAGTAGCAGGCCAATTTTCGTCTAAATAGTGTCATTAATTACTTCATTCCATCGAAAAGTTCGTGGACGACAATACATATTGTAGATATTGATGTTGTGATTCCTTTCGATTTGCATAGGGGAATTTAGGGTGCCTTCTGTCATTCATAGGTATCTCTTGGTATCATCAGTTTTAGTGCAAAAGGCTGGGTGTACGATAGTGCAACGTAGGGAGTTCCTATAACTAGTGAGATTTAGTCTTTCAGCTTGAAAATGTTCTTTAGCTTTTTAGTTTGCTCGGCTTTACCACTAGCAAACACATCGTATCCAGTTCTATCATTGTAAAAGTGGTGTTGATATCTAAAAATGTTTTGAGATAATAAAGACCATATTGTGAGTAGCGTCATTTTCGGATACTAATTTCAGTGACCCGAACGTCTTCTTCGACACCATGTTGTACCTGACAAGGTCATCAACATCATTCGGAATTCATGCGATGGACTACACTGCAAATTTGTGAGTGGAAGGCAGCTGACAAACGCTTTCTAAGTGGAGGCCGTTGTCAGACAAAAATGATTACTCTATCTCCTTCCCTTTCTTCTGGCAGTTGACTGGATTATGAAGGCCTCCACATCTCAGGGGAAGCATGGAATACAATGTACAGCTTGCATGCACCTAGATGATGAACTTTTCAGATGACCTAGCACTTTTACCCCACACACACGAACGAATGCAGATCAAGACAAACACTGTAGCAGCAGTATCTGCATCAGTGCACCTCAACATATACAAGGGAAAAATCAAGATCTTGAAACACAACACGGAGAACACCAACTCAATCACATTCGATGGAGAAACTCTGGAAAATATGTTAACTTTCACGTGGCTGGACAGCATTATCGATAAACGAGGGGATTTGATGCAGATGTGAAGACAAGGATTGACAAAGTAAAGGCCGCATTCCCACAGTTGAGGAACTCATAACAACTCAATCAATATCCAAGTCAGAATTTTCAATACGAGCGTCAAGACAGTTCTACTGTACGGAGTTTAAACTTAGAGAACTACCACAACTATCATAAAAAAGTACGAGTATTTATAAGCAATTGTCTACTCGAGATACTCAATGTTCGTTGGTTAGATATCATCAGCAACAACCTACTGTGGGAGGAAACAAACCAGCTCCCAGATGGTGAGGAAATTAGGCAAAGACGCTGGAAGTGGATAGGACATACATACATCAGACTGCCTCACGAGGCAAGCGATAATTTGGGATCCTGAGGGGAAACATAAAAGATAAAGACCAAGGAGTTCATTGCGCCGAGAATTGGAAGCATACATCAAGAGAATGAATAGCAACTAGGAAGGACTGTCCAGGACAGAGGTCGATGAGGAATCCTTGTAGGCGGCCTATGCTCCTTCACGACGGGCAACAGGTGTAAGTAAATAAGAATTGAAAAATTGCCAAACATGCCTCTTTCATGAAGAGCACAGATATATAGTCCGGAGATGAGTTACGTATCTCAGTCAAGCCAGTTTTATTACCGATTTTCCTGATTGATTAATTGTTAGTTCAATTCACACAAGTTTGGGTCGTGTAGTAAGAAGACGAAAATTATCAGAACTATGTGATATGTTGGCGCAATACGAACAATCTGATCACACGTATACTCGTCAAGAACATTTATATACAAAAATGGAAGGTTGACTAGACAAGTGGAGAGTAAGAGGAAACACAGTAAAGAAAATAATATTAGGAACAATATGAGACTCACCACACTGTATAATAAACTAGTATTAGCAAGGTAGTTTCAAGGTGAAAATAAAGGTTTGGATTTTCATATGGTCAAGGCTTCAATAAGCTTTAGCAGTTGACTTATTATTTTTATGTATAAATGTTCTTAACAAGTATGTGCGGTGACAAATCAGTCTTGTTAAAAATCACCTCAACCTTAAAATAAAAATTAGTGCCAACTCTATTTGTAGTTTCCTATGTTGTTCAGAAACCGCGGAGTCTCCTTTCATAGGAAATGATACTTATCAAGATTGTTCTCTTATTTAGATTCTATCTCTTACTATCCTCACCTATTGGTGTTATCATGTGGTTCTCTTAGGGAAGCACTGCACTAGATGCTACACAGACAGATAGATGAGATCGATGACAACAAATAGTAGTACCTTAGACTACTAAATAGGTCCTAATTTGCTTATATCTTAAATTCAAAGTAATTATGTAGTCTAGCTGGTTGTTACTGCATTTCTCGAAATCTTTACATTTGTAATAGATTTCAAAGTAATTTTTATAGGCATGTTTCGATTGGAATCAAGCAATCTGATAAAAAACAACCTAACATGAATATAGAGTGATCGCTCCAGACAATCGTTAAGTACTAATTTGTTTCTTACCTGCAGGAAAAAGGTTTCAGTACACCTACTATGATCAAAGTAAAGGAGCAATCTGGCAATCCATACAAGCACTTGATGAAACAGTAAGTTACCTATCTTTTAAGATTGTATGAGTAAATTAAAGACTTAACGTTGTCAGTAACAACGTCAGGTAACGATAGTTGGGTAGATTCATGCAAGTAACGTTCACTAAATCAATCTGCACTCACCCTATTCTTTAGACCGGTTCCTCATTATTTGCATTTACAAAACGCGAAATATGGCATCAGACACCTTTTTCGATCTTTACTTACATATCCAGTTATATGCAAAGTCCGGTCATTGCAGTCTGCATACCGAAGTTTGAAAGAGGGTTCTCTAGACACGCGCTTATTTGGTATCATAATACAAAACGACGTCAATAAATTAACTGATTTCTCCTTAAATTAGAGGTGATAATGGAAAAGTTGTAGATTTTACTTTACGGGGAACTATTACATGTATTTTCTTACCATTGTTTCATAATTGGATTGTTGTATTTGCGTGTTCTGTATTGTAAGGTTGTGGTTGTCACAAATGATTCGGCTTTACTCTGAGATGACCTTAGCTACATGACAATTCTCATTACTATCCACAACTAATATCTAGACTTTTTTTGTTTTACTGTCGAAATACAATTTTCTACTGTTGCCAATAATATAGCTCCCATAGACCCCTTAGTTCAATGCATTAACAAATCCGGCTCATTTAGTGTTACCTGGAATGATAATAATCTAGTGTTATTCTGTAGTTTTTCGAAAACATTTCTGCCATAGATACAGTGTGGTATCGTTTATACATGGACCTCCAACCTAGAAATCATCTAACGATGCAAATCATTTTTCTATCCATGACATCTGTCGTAGGCAAGATGACGTTTTGTAAATGACTCATTATAATACGCAAATCAATACCTGGCACATTTGTATATTGATTCAACTTATCACACTCCTTCATTGTCAATAATTTTGAATCTCTGACTATAAGTTACAATAATCACGCGAACTCCAACCGGGCAGTCTGCACCTACATACATAAGTCAATGTACTGATGACATGTCTTGGTCCCTAGATTGTTGTTGTTCTGTCTCACTCAATGGAGATTCACTTTGCCATTCTTACCTAAGGTCTTTAAAAGTGCTAATTCGATGGTTCAAAAATATAGGGATGATGCCTCGAATACATCTATGATTGAATACTGAAAAACCTTCAGATATCCTCCACTTTTAAAGGTCACTTTCCTCAGCCATAAAGTAGAGAAGAGCGAACTGCCATACAGTACACCCTTCTTTTGGTTGACAGACAAATATTTCGTCTGTGCGAAAACTGACGCAAGCTGGCAAACGCCAGTTTATTAAATTTAAACTGATTCAGTACGTTGATCCTTTCATTTTGGTGGGTCTCTAGATGGTTCGTTTTCTACTAAACTGTAACTGTGAAAGTAGAAGCCCATATGGTATGCACCATCCTTACACAGGTGATAGTGCCAATAAAACACCCCGATTTCTACCAAAAACGAGCGAATTGCACGGCAGTTTGTTTGCTGCGTCATCTAAGAACTAACTTCAAGATATGTATTTTTAAGAGTATCTTTTGTGGATCTCGATCCTTTAAACTTTTAGGGAATGGAGTTAATTGAACGACTTGCTCCGTCTGAATTTACAAATTACTTAGAACAATATGGTAACACCATATGCGGACGACACCCGATAGGCGTACTTCTACAAATCGTTACGTATTTACGCAGGAATATGCCCAATAATAATTTTGACATGAAGTTTGTACGATATGCCCAATCAGAACACTGTAACAATATGAACCAATCATCTGTCAGCTATGCAGCTGGTGTACTACAAATATCTTCATAATATAAGTAACTCTTTTCTTGCATATTATAATATGTGTATCAATGTTTACATTAAAGTAAAAAATCAGAACTTTAGGGATTGCTAATTTTATTTCAGTATATAACAAACTTTTTCTTATGGGTCCTTTTATATATTTACTCACGGCTGACTAGGGCACATGCAGTGTAACTCACTGATGAATCTTCCATTGACTGGCAGCGGGTGGATTGTGTATAATTTAGAATTTTAAGTTCCAGGTTTAACGGTCGTTTCTGTCGAATAGAGTCAATCATAAATAACAACACGCCTATACTTCTCCTGCCGCATATAGTGTTGCTGTACTCTTCTAGATATTTTATGAATGATTTCGGTTTCAGGCTTCGAATTGCATTTAAACCCTGTGAAGCATGACATTAAATTTAATTACAGTTGAGAGGGATACAGTGTGAAAATAAAAATACTGCAGCCACTTACGAGGTGATCGAGTTTCTCAATAGACTGCCATATCGCACCATCGGATTTATTGTAATACTGATATCGAAATCGTTTTCCTGGAAATAAAGCATACGAGTGATTAGTTTACTGACTGTGGGTATCATTCTGAATCATACTAATCATCACTGAGAGACTGAATTTGTGACTTGTTGTTCGACTTTGACCATGGATATATATTCCCAATAATAAGCGCGCAAAACGACCACTTATGTCCTCGTATATTCTTTTAGAAGATTTTAGCATAAAATGTACATTTAAACAAGGCTAGACAATTACCGAAATATAATAACTACTGCTTGGAAAAGTTTAGACGACCTTAGTTCGATTTTTGTAACCAAGGTTAACATGATGAATCATTAACGATTGTTTGGGACAATAACGGACGAAACTATGTAAAGGAATACCGCAAGTTACCATCACCAGCCAAGTTACCCTGAAGAATTACAGACAAGCCAGCTGGACGAAACGTTGGAATTATTTAAATTTCAGTCGCTGAGATTATTTCAAATATAATTTTCACATATAATGACATTATGTATACTGCTTCGAATAAACAAAAATATTGCGTGGAAAATGTAACAAACCCCAATGACAGAAATCAGAAGATATCACAAAGAGATTCTTCTCATCTAGCATGTAGCTCGATAGGAGGTTCCCGAAGAATTCTTGTTTTTCGGATGATAAGCAACCGACAATTATGGGAACTATGGAGTACTGATCTTTCCTACTTCAAAGCAAAAGTAAAAGTAGACATTATTTGTGTTCAACTCCAAGATTTTGGTAAACAAATACGAACCACATCAAGATACTTATCAAACTCTAATCTGGACACGACGATAACATGTCTGATAACCATTAGTTTCAATGTTAAACTAGAATGTCACCGATTATCGCAAATAATTGTTACACTGATTTGACTATTTAGTATTAGAATGTAGGAAAGCGCATTGTCATCAAAATACTGGATATTTTCTACTAGTATAATTAGTTTGTAAGTTTACGGGATATTATGTCTGCTGTCATTTACTGCCTAATATTTTTGGGTACCACATGAGCGGTTTCGAAATCAAAACATGATTTCGATAGAAACGAAAAAGTAATTCAAAAGAGAAAAGCTAACTTGACCGGTTGTGCCGATTAAAAGTGATTATCATTTAGAAAAGAAGGAACTCACTGAATACAAATCAATACAACAATACATCGAAAATAGAATAACGAACTTCATACTGAGTAAAATTGGGTGGGCGAAATTTGCTTTAAATCAATTTATAGATTTTAAAACTGATTTCCTCATGTATACAGTATTTGCAGATTCCGTATCCCCAACGCAAAATGAAAAATTTTTGTACGGAATTTAGTCGTTTTGTCAAAGAGGGGAACGTACACACCTTGATGATCTGATGTTACATCAACTCACAATTCCATCAGTAGTATTACGTAGTGTTGGTATAATTAATTAGACACGATAATATTCCCACCACGGACAAGGGCTGTCGTATAGTTCAATGTTAACTAGTAACTCGGTATAATGGATTTTAAAATAGAAGCAAACCTTTCGGATACGTACTTGCAGACCATAATTCTGCTTAAATAATCAAGTATGATGCTAATAATAGGAAATAAAGCGAATCATGAGATGCAGTTTGAAGGAATATCCGTGAATATGGATGAGTGTTCCTTGTATAAATTACAGAGGATCTACTATTCGACGTATCCGTTACGTTCAAGTTTCATATAAACCACATAGATAAATGCTTGGTATGTCTTATGATCTCGCTAAGTTGATAAAGGTATTTAAGTCATATTAATATAGTCTAGGAAATCACATGGAAAAGCTTACCGTTTCATGATGTGAGCAATATACGGTAACTGCATTTCTACAGAGTGTTCAGCTTCGTCCTGACTCTTTTCAAGAACGCTGAAGCAGTTAAGCTCTTTAAGGCTGTTGTATACTTAAAAAAAGGTATTACATTAACTTCGCTTACCATTAGTATTAATCTTTAAGTTATAAAACGGAGTTTCATATTCAGATACAGAAGTAAGAGCACATGTATTCCCAATATTTAAACGATGTGAGGGACCTATGATAAAAATACATTCTCTTTGAGAAAGAAACATTTAATTAAAGCACCACTTACATTTTATCAGGATTGATTAGACGGTACGCGTGGGCCGCACATAAACCAGAATGTCGGTAACCTGCATGACTTGACATTTTTATTCATAAAAATAATGTCATACGGTACTATAATTGCCCGGACTAAATTTGCATTTGAAACGTTCTTTTCACAACTTTCCAACCAAGTGTTTAACTGTGATGACAACTCTGTTCCTAATTACAATTAGTAATTGTCTTGCTAATAATCGCTCAACTGTCTGCAGAATACCAGCTTCCAGCGTGTGAACTAACCCGGACAGAACTGAGAGTCGTCTCCATTCAGTGCAAATTGTTCACAAAATACTATTTTGTAGTAATGACATGTTTAAACCTAAAGCATTAGAAATTCTGTAAAACGTTGGAAAAACGAGAAACCGGTGGTGATGTAAGGAAAAAACCGACAATTACAATTTAAAATGCTCGATGATAAGGTGTGCACTAGTTAGGTAAGCTGTTGACAAAAAGTTGTAAGTTCAGTAGGCTATTGAAAAATATGCAGTACTACGCACCATCCTATGATAGCTACCACGCTATAGCATGGTAGCTATTGGAATTTATAAGCACGTGCCAACTGTACAGTTGTCAGTAATATGAGAGTACACCTTGGCAGCCGACCTTGCCTTTATTAGCTTGCTGTAGCGATCTCTGAATCTTCAATGGCTTGAACAATTCTTTAAAAGGAGAATAGTTGTTAATTTTTCCTACATTAGTAGCAGACACTATAAAGGCCTGTCCAACTGTATCTTGACTCATATGAGTGTAATATATATTACACTATTTTAGATCTCCACATAATTCTTTTTCTTACTTACCAAGGGTTACTTGTTTTACTTATTGGCGTACACTTACAACCATTAATGATTGAATTCAAGAGGTAGTTTCCAGCTTTGGTCTTATTTAACTATCAATCCTGTAGTGTCTTTCACTCACACAACTTTATTTACATCCTTGGTATACTAAGCTGATGTATGTTCAAATGAACTTTTGGCCAAACTTATCGATGGGTGATTATTACAATAGTATCCTTAAATATAAGGATACTATTATAACCTATATCCTTATAAGGATATACGTTGTATGGAACTGGTGAAAACACAACGGAATTATCAGAGTTACCACCAAATATGACTTGGCCTTTACACACTATGACAACGTCAATTAAACAAAATTGCCCCACACCAACCTCGCACTCAAATCATTTGCTAAGACAAACTCAATGAAACCTTGAATTCAATGTAGAAGGTTTTAAATGTCCAACACCACTGAAGCTTATCTAGATTTGCATCTTACTCGCTTGCGTCTTGACTTCATGAGCATGTTTCCGACACGTAATACTGTTTATCAATTCAGTATATCAGCTCTGCTGAAAAAGTCAAGCCAAATGCATGGGTATATAGAATTGAGATTCTGAAGATAAGTGAATAACTATTCACTTAGCCAACCTAGGTTTGCTAAACAATATGAAGGTGCTAGAGTGGTTTAACACTAATTTCCAGGATTTAATAAAAGAAACAGGAAGTAACACCTTTATAGTGGAAGGATATTAACCCACCGAATCAGAAGTCAGAAATGGAAGGTTAGAAGGTATATTTGGAAAGCTATCGATATGTCGAGAAGCGTTTGGTCTAAGCTATCTAGGAGTTGCAAGAAATGAGTAGCTCGTCGTAGCCGTACAGGATCTGGTACTGATGCGTGGCAGAGTGCTTTCAGCTAATGTGTGTCCAGTAAAACTAATGAGACAAGCTTCAATGTTGAAGGTTTACAGAAATACTTATTATTCGCCGCTACAATGAATAAGAATCTAATTTTACGGGTCTTTAATCCGAAGTCAAGCTAAGATTTTGTGCAACTGTAATCCCATGAATGCTCTGGACAGATGTATAACTTCCACACATTTTTCCAATTAAGTATATAGTTTTGTACCAAGTGAATAGAGCAACTTTCACCTTACTTGTAAATCAACCCTTCTACTACGCTACTCAAGAGTTTTTAGCTGAAACGAAATTAGAACAATTTATTTTTTAGAATTAAAGTTTACCATGACTCCTGGACCTTGTGACTACAGTTTAATGAGAAACGGCACAATGATTTTGCAACTGTTGTCATTTGTATTTGATCCTCATGAAGATATATTCTGCAGCATTGATAGGCACCAGATATCACTTAGTTCAATTAATAAGTATCTGAAGACAGATCATTGGTTCTCATGAGTCTTCTTCAGTGAATTTCGACCTTGGTTTAACGTTGTCAGATATTTTATAGTGCTTAAAAGCTTGCTAACGTACAAGTTAAAAATGAGTAATCATGAAGAAAAACAAACACCAAACAATAAACTATGAGTCTGTTTCTTGTTGTAATACTATGCATCACTGTTTAATTTTTGTTTTTTCATATAGTAATATTGTTTTTATGTTTTCGGAATTTTTGTTCAATTGTATATTTGATCTTCATTATGACGGAACAAACAGCTGAGCTGTTTGAGATTAAGACTTTCGCTTCTGACGTTTCAACTCGTGTCATTCTGGCCCGACAATCTCGAAGCCTGGTTTGGGTACGCAGAATCTGACTCCCACAAGTATAACATGACGGTCATACATGCACAACTCTTTTCAGTAGTGAAGGTGTTACTGCGCGATTTTAACAGATACGTTACACACATCACATTTACTGTCGATGTTTCTGAACCTTACGATACTTCAAGGAAGGCCGTTGTCAAACATGGAGAACTAGCCAATCTACAGGAGTTAGACCAGATTTCCCATCGATGAGCAACACGGCTCAGCAACAGAAGTGTTGCTACGTATACGAGAGGTTTTCTACCAATGAACCTTTGAGAAGAACCTGTTTAGACAGATCTCCCTGTCTAAGTTTCCTGAACACGTACTTGTGGTTGTTGTCTCACATCAAAATAAAGCTGCAAACAAACTGATCGCACTTGCCGACCGGATTCTGAAGTATGCTGAGGCTTATTTTGTCAAAGAAAAGCCTCAAACGACACGAAACGACGTTACAAATCCCAGTTATACACACCCGCTGTCCTAGTATTCATCGTGATTGTAGACGCTCTGAAACTCCTCGAAGGAGCTTGAAGATGCCACAGGTATTCAGAGTTTGACAACGCTTTAACCAGTAACACCTAATACGAAGCGCACCCACCAAGTAAAATCAAAAGACAGAAGCGAGGAGATCGAAGATATATTTGATAAGCTATCAATATATCGAGGATCGTTTGCACTAATCTGGCTAGCGATTGAGGCAGATGTTGAGCACGGCGTTCCCACACGTGATCTGGTGCGGATGCTTGACCGAGCGCCTTCAGCTAGATGAGTCCACTAAAACTGTGGTCAGCATCCAATGTCGAAAACTTACAGAGCTATTTGATTTTGGGGAATTATTTGCCGCTACAGATCACTCCCCCCCCCTAGTAGGGTAGTGATGACCCTAAGACGTGGCCAGCCAGAAGTTTAAACCCAACGAGATTTTCGTTGGTAAACACTCTTCTGATGGCTTCCTAGGTTTTGCAGCGTCTGGTCGTCTTTCCTTACTATAATGGACCATGATGTACAATATAGTAAAAAAAGGTACAATGCAGATTTTCGTTTTTCGCAACTTCATCGTTCTTTTCCAGTCGTCCTGGAAAAGAAAAGAAGAATATGTAAGTGCATGTCGGAAAACACTCGTACGCGCGTGAGAACACAAAACGGGCGAAGAAAAAGGAAAACAAACTCATGCTCACGTAGTAGCGTAAAATAAGATTTTTATAATATCGTTATGTTTTTTGTTTTTTTCTTTTTTTTGAAATAAAAAAAATAATAATATATAAGCATATTAAATTCAGGGTTTTTTTTAAAAAAAATTATATATAGTACCAGGGAAAATCGAGGGGATATAAAATGTTAACTTGTGTCTTACGTGCAGTATTCGTTCAAGTGTTCTGGAAATCTTACTCTTCTTCCAGAACGCGTTGTTTTGAGTTTGTTTTCGTATAATGTCGCAGTATCAACGTGTGTGTCTGCTGTCGATTGAGGCATTATAAGCGCAGGAGTTGTGTCGTGCGATTGTATTGAAGGAAAATCGACGTGAATAGGATTTCCTTCTATATACGCTGCTTTGAGGCGATCGATACTGATGCTTTCGTTAGTTCCGTTCTTATCTATTATATAGTACTTAGATTCGCGTTGAAGAACTTTGAAAGGTCCTTCATATGTTGATTCGAGGGGTCGTCGATGCGAGTCTCGACGCACGGAAACGTGTGTACTATGTCGTAAGTCAGGTTGAACGAAAACATCAGTTGATTGTGGTCGAGTGGAAACAGGTTTAACTGAACGCATTGCGTTTGTAAGCCTGTTCGCGTAGGAGGTTAGATCCATGTCCATCGAAGAGGATGAAGGATCCACGAACTCTCCTGGAAGTCGAAGGGTCGTACCATAAACGAGTTGAGATGCAGTGTATCCAATGTCAAATTTCACTGCATTGCGTATGCCTAGTAAGACGGGTGGAAGAGCGTCAGTCCACTGAGAAATGTTTGAGGCTGATAGTGACGCTTTTAGTTGTCGGTGAAAACGTTCTACTAACCCGTTTGCTTGTGGGTGGTAGGCCGTCGTTCGAAAGCGAGTGATTCCTAGTTTCATGGTAAGACAACGGAACAGTTCAGATTCAAACTGACGTCCACGGTCTGTAGTAATCGTTGTTGGGCAGCCGAAGTTTGCTACCCACCTCTCGACGAAGGCGCGGGCCACTGTTCCAGCAGTTATATCTTTGATGGGTACTGCTTCTGACCATCGAGTAAAACGGTCTACGCATGTTAAAAGATAAGAATATCCATTTGAATCTGGTAAAGGTCCTACCAAATTCAAATGAACATGGTC